TTTAAATTTTACTCCCATCTTTGGGCACTGAGCTTGGTTTGCTCTTCTTTTTCTAGAAGCTTGAGGTGCAGTATTAGGGCATTTATTCGTTCTCACTCTGTTTTCCTAATGTGTGAGTTCATCGCCGTAAATTTCCCTTTGATATCTGCTTTCATTGCATCCCACAGATTCCAATAATTTGTGCTTGCATTTTCATTGGAGTGTAGATATTGTTTAATTTCATCTGTAACCCTTTGGTTGCTGAGGAGGGCATTATTTAATTTCCATATATTCGTGGGGTTTTTCTGTTTTCTTTTCTCGTTTATTTCCAGTTTCACTGCACTGTGGGCAGATAATATGCATGGGATAATTTCTGTTTTCTTGCATATACTTAAGCATAACCTGTGGACTAGTATGTGGTCTATTTTAGAAAACATCCCATACGCAGCTGAAAAGAATGTGTATTCAGATGTTGTTGGGTGACTCTGTATATGTCCACTAAGTCCATTTGTTCAAAGGTTGGGTTCATTTCTGCTACATCTTTGCTAATTTTTTGTCTGCTTGATCTATCTTTTTGAGATAAGGATGTGTTAAATTCCCCTGTTAAGATTGTGCTATTGGTTATTAGATTTTTCATGTTTAACATGAAAAACATTTGTCTTATATAGCTGGGTGCCCATACATACTTATGACTGTTATCACTTTTTCTTGATTTTTTCCCCTAGCCAATATATAGTGACCTTCTTTATCTCATTTGATCATTCTTGGTTTGAAATTCAGATTGTCTGCAAAGAGAATAGCAACCCTGCTTTTTTCTGAGGCCCTGGAGCATGTAGTGTTGTTTTCCATCCTTTGACTTTCAGCCTATGAATTTATTTATGATTTAAATATGTTTGTTGTATATAGCATATTTTTTAATTTGTTTCTTAATCCACTCAGCCAGTATATTTCTTTTAATTGGTGAATTGAGTCCATTTATATTCCTGGTTATAATTTATATGTATTGGCTTATGTTTGTCGTGTCAATTTCCTGCTGTTGGTTCCTTACATTTTTTTTGTGTTTTTAATAGTTTGCCTTGTTTGGTGGGTTCTTTCTGTTGTCATTCTTGGAATTGTGGACATTTTGATACTTTTCTAAAATATATTTTAGTATTCAGTGTGGGGTTGGTTTGATCGTCATGAACTTCTTCAGTTGTTCTTTGTCATGGAAATATTTTATTTCTCCATTAAACTTAAAAGAGAGTTTTGCAGGGTAAATCAGTCTTGGTTAGCATTTGTTTTCTTGTAGGACTTGAACTACTTCACTCCATGATCTTCTTGACTTGATAGTTTTTGAGAAGAAATTTGCTGTCATTCTAATGGGTTTTCCTTGAATGTGATCTGTTTGCTTTTTTCTAATGGCTTTTACTATGTTTTGCTGATGCTGATTTTCTGATCTTGCTTATTATATGCCTGGGTGTGGTTTTAATTGGGTTGATATTATTTGGAGTTCCAAATGCCTCGACTACCTGAATGTCAGATTGTTTCCCCATATTTGGGAAGTTTTCTGCTATGACTTCTGACCATATTTTTATGTTATTTGTGTTGGCTCCTTCTTTCTCTTTGATGCCTATTAGTCCTATGTTGTTCATCTTTCTGTCGTCTTGCAGCTGTTGAATTATTATTTATTGGATCCTAGTTGTTTCTAAGAGATCTTCCCTTACGTTTTCACTAGCTGTATTATGTCTTCAGGATCTGAAAGTCTATTTTCATTTTCATTCAAATGATTTTACCAACTTTTAATGGAGTTTTTAATTTCTTGTATATCTTCTTGAATCTGCTTCAAGCAGTCAGTTTTTTCCTATATTGCTTATTCAAGGTTTCCATCATCTTATTTTATTTATTTACTTGTTTATGTATTTAGTACAGGGTCTACAGGGCCTCACTACATAGATCTGACTCATAGTGATCCTGCTGTTTTTAGCCTCCCCAGTGCTGCAATTACATTTATTTGCCACCATGCCCAGTCTCAATCACCATCTCAGTGTGCCCCGGGGTTGGGGCTGGCACGGCACACTGGGGATCAAACCCCGGCCACTGTACTCTGCCTAGCCAGGCGCTTTAGTTCACTGAGCTATCTGGCCAGCCCCTCTATCATTTTAATATTCTCCTCTATTTCTTTTTATCAGTGTTATCTTTAGAAATGTTTGTAATTGTTTCATTATAGTTATCATTTCTGTTTTTACCTGTGAGATTATTTCTGATCTGATTTCTTCTATATCCTTGTCCAGCTGTTTCTTTACTTCAGGTGTGTGACTTCCAATTTATTCTATGCCAGTGTGTCCTGCATTTGTTCTGGGTGGGCTCAGGGCCTGCGAATGCATTTTGCTCCTTCCTCTTGTCATTTTCTATTTCAGAAAGAACACTTTATTTTGGTTTCTGTGATACCTTTCTGTGAACTTTTGATAGTAAGTAGCCATATCATTGCAGTCAGAGCCTCTCTGTAGAGAACTTGTTCTTTAGGTGTCTCTCCTGTGTCAAAGATTCTTGCTTTGTTTGTGTCCCAAGTTTTTGCCTTCTCTATTGATTGAAAGTGAGATATCAGTTTCCGCTTGAACCTGCCCTCCGTCCTTTTGTGTAGGGCCTTGGTGAGGTTATTTCCCAAGCATCTCCTGATATTAAAACCCCAGGGAAAATGTGGTTAAGGCAGATATGGTTTCCTATTGACAGTACAATTAGCAAGACTAATAACAGCTACTGAAATTTAGATATTGACGTTCCAGCCAGATAGCTCAGCAGACTAAAGCGCCTGCCTAGGCAGAGTGCAGCAGCTGGGGTTCGATCCTCAGTGTGTTGTACCTGCCTTATCCACCCCCCAACTCCCCCACCCCCTGCACACTGAGACAGTGATTGAGACTGGGTGTGATGGTGTGCACCTGCAATCCCAGCGCTTGGGAGCCTGAAAACAGGAAAATCACTATGAGTCCAATCTACATAGTGAAACCCTGTAGACCCTGTACTAAACACATTGAAAAAAAAAGAAGGAAGGAAATTTAAATATTGACAAACTTTTGTAAATAATGGGTTTGTACTTTAGACCATAGAAGCAAACATTATAGCTGTATAACAAAGCAGATCTTAAACTGGGAATTTGTATTTATGTTTGCTCCCCTGAGTTCTGTCTACACACCTCCCCTTCATGCTCCTGGAGTCTTCCAGACAGACTGATTCACCCCAGTCACCTGCTGCCACCTCTGTGCTGAGGATGCTTTTGTAGGTCTAGGCCTTGGTCTGGGCTCGGCTGACCCCTGCAGTATGCCTCAGCTCACTGGGTCTAGATCTGCTGAACTAGAACTTGATTGGCCAGACCTGGTTTAGGTCTGGTTGCTGTGTTTGGCTCCTTCTAGCAGAGCTCTGTACAAATGAACTGCTGGGACCCCTGGCTGCCTGTCCCACAACTCCTTCCTGGTAGGCCTGTTGAGGTGGAGTGTGCCCTCCGAGCCCTGCTGGCAGCTGCCCCTGTAGTGCAGGGTTCTGTTATTAAGATGACTGGTGAGACAGTTAATTACTTAATTCAGGAAAGAATACATAAGAAGAAATATCTGAGATATCTGGAGGCTTTCCCAAAAATATATGTTATATAAAGTTAATGCAATCTAATACTTGGGGTTAATTGAGCAATTTCCTTCGCTTTTATGAATCATTAAAATGAATTTAAGTAATGGAAATATTTCAGTGGAAAAATTAGTGAATTATCCCAGCAGCAATAAACTGGCTATAGTCCAATAAATAGATACATTGGATCTCTGTGAATTGCAAAGTACCATATTTGATATGCTAGAGAAATATATGCAGCAATTGAAAAGAAAGAACATGAAGACATATTAGGAAGTAGGATATCAAATTGTAGAACATTCATTCATTGAAGGAATGGTTAGTGAATTTAGTGTTTATTAGTCTCTGTGATGAGCAGGACAAACTTAGCTCCTGCCTGCCCTCATAGAACATTAGTTATATTGGCAAAATGTGGGAAGAATTGTTTAACAATAACAGAGCAATAAACATCATTATAGCAAGTGTGTTTTATATGTTCAGTCATTAAAAATAATGACTGATAGTAAATTAAGTATAATAAGGTAAAAATCATGAGCATATATGTAAATATAATCAGTATAAGTACAAAAGAGAATAAATTA